TATATATATATATATATATATATATATATATATATATATATATATATATATATATATATATATGTATGTATATATGTATATACAGGGTATCCCATTTTAAAAGTTGCACTAACCCAAATAGTCAAATCTGCTCAAGCAAATTTTGCCCAACACTTGATTACAAATTTTGCTGCCAAAATGTCATCAAATTGGACATAACATCTGCTAAATCAAAGGTTGTTGGCAAATTGGCGCCAAATACCGAGCAAGGTTTGTGCGGCGCAGTTTGACGTCAAATTGATGCCAAATACCGAACAAAGCTTGATGAAATCTAACACCGAATTGACGCCAAATACCGGCCAAAGTTTGTGCGGCGTAGTTTGACGCCAAACTTTGCTCGATATTTAGCAACAATTTGGCGTTAGATTTTGTCACCAAGCTTTGCTAACAAAACCCAAGCATATTGCGGACATAAATGGCATCGGATTTGCCATCAAGTTTTGGTCATATTTGGTGTCAATTTGGCGACAATTTGGTAACAAATTGTTTGCTGGGAAAATATCTTCAGAAAAGCATTTTCAGAAAAAATGTTTCAAACAAAAGTTGTAAGGTTTGAAGAGGGGTATCTGAAGGTGACCTTGACTTTGATCTTGGCGGCCATTGTCAAGGTATTTCAAGGTCCACTTCGATTTCTTAAATAGGAACCCCTTTTTTTGACAGCAGAAATAAAAAGAGCGGAAAATTTTATGTTCAGATATGTAGTCATGTCATTGGGTCAATGTGATCTGTAGTGGTCAATGCTGACGTTTATTAGAAAAGCGTTCACGATACAATCGTGCTACTGCGCGTAATTACCACGACATTCTCCAAGAACTAAAAAAATATCAACTATTTTGTTTCACGTGTAATCTGACAATTATTCAGTGATAAAAAAAGAAAATATGTTTGAAAACCAATATGAATAATCCTAGGGGTTATAACATCTTTTTAATATATTTTAATATAGTTTTAATATATATCTATATTTTTTTAACTTGATTAACTACTTAGGGCAATAACTCTATCCA